TCTCAATCCAATCAGATTCTTCCAATGGAATGGATGCTACATCATGAGGTTTTTCAGTGGATTTGCTCTCAGTCTTGGTCTCCAATACCTCATCCTTAAGCATTGGCAGTAGATGCGTTCCATCAGGACTAACACAAGTTTACATCTGTATGCTCTTCCCCCGATTCAGCTATTGTTCGGGGTTCTGCCTATGGTTTGCTTCACTCCTTGTAGAGTTATCTTTGTTGCACCATATTGGCCAGCTCAGTCATGGTTTCTGCTTCTTCAGTATCTGCAATATCTACCTCTTCCACATTGGCAGTCTCTGAGACAACCTTGATCAGACATTCTCTACCCAGATGTTTGGAAACTCAAACTTCATGCTTGGAAGTTATGCAGTTCTTTGTCCAACATAAGGGTTTAACTTCTACAGTTTTTCTGTATTTAACTAAATCTTTCTGTAGGCCAACCACAGCCTTTTATCAACAGAAATGGCTTACTTATTGTCAGTGATGTATTAAAAGGAGTTTTAACCCTTTTCATCCTAAAGTATCTACCATATCCTATTTTATGATTTGGGTATTTGAGAAGGGTTTTGCTTTGCTTACAGTGGTTTTATGTAAGGCATCCATGACCACTATTTTTTGGTTGAATATATCAGGGTTGATTTGCTTTCAAAAATGTAAAGAACTTGGTTCACCTATTACACAATTTCCAGAACACTGTTCCTCAGAACTCACCAATGCGTATTATTCCTCCAGACTCTACTAGACTCAGCTAGAGTTCTTACCACCCCAGTTTCCAGTTGCTGGGGTGGCAGACAGAGACTTTTCCTCTAGAGTGTTTGAGTGTGTTCCCCCACTCTTGGAGAAGATTGCAAAGTTGGGGGCCCTCCTACTCAGATCCCTGGATGTTTATCTTAGATGTCAGTAGGAGTGGCACCAGCCTCCACAGGAGCCTACTCATAATTCAAGTTCCGATTTGTCACAAAGCTATCCAGTTGGTGTATTGTACATGGAAGGAGGTCCACTATCTCCTCATGATTCAGAATGCGATGTGATCCCATCCTAGTTCCAGGGGCAAGTAGAATAATCCTTGCCCACTTGGTTGGAAGTGAGGATGAAGGTTTATAATTCCAGACTGGATGAGTTCTGTTCCTTTGGTTGAGTATGGCATACGCGATCCCATCATTTTGAGCCTGGAGTGTTGTCTTTTGGACTTCTTCAGGTGGAGGAGAAAGTTTGTCCACTTTGGTGTTGCTTACTTTATCATCGTGATTCCAGTGGTGCAAAACGCATCACCATGGCTACAGGCTGGGATCCAATCAGAAGTATATATATATATATATATATATATATATATATATATATATACTATAACTACTACTAACTACTACCCACCACCTAGTAGTAGTATAGTACGTACTACCTACCTACCTTACTTACCTACCTACTACGTAGT